ATCAGCAAGAAAACGTGCCAGTTTGTAGGTGGGGGAGCTGATAGTAGAGACGATGGGACGACGGGGTGTATCTTCTTTGTGTATCTTTGGAAGGCCATATAATCTTGGTGGTCTGGCAGCAGAGGGCTTCAACGAGAACTGTTTGATCTCATCAATTAATGCTGTTGAATCAGAGATGATTTTGTTCGTTTTGGTGACCAGGCTGTTGGTGGGATCTCTTTTTATTTTTGTGTAGCTGCCATCGTTGAGTAGTTCTTGAATTTTGTTGTTATATTCTGTTTTGTCCATGATGACAGTGGCATTGCCTTTGTCGGCTGAGAGGACGACAATATCATCCCTATTTTTTAATTGAGATAATTCAAAACGTTCGTCTTTGCTGATGTTGCTGGGTGGCAACTTTTTGAGGGTTGCAGCGATTTCGGATCTTGCTACGTCTGCAGAGATGTGACTCAAGCCCTTGAGTGCAACGTCGACATGGGCAATGATATCATTAACCGGTAAGTGTCTCGGCATGACAGCAAAGTTTAGACCTTTAGCTACAACGGATTTCAGACCATCAGAAATGGAACTGTTACTGCGATTAATTACGACTTTGTTGACGTCTATCTTTTCGGTGTGTGGATCCAATTTTTTGCTGGAGAGGTGATTGAATTTGGAAATCAAATTGTCCCTACATTTGTTCGACATAGTGGCAGCCGAAGAGGTAGTCATATTGTCTACATGTTCCCAATCCGATGTAGACATTGTTGCTGTCAATTTTAAGTGTGATTTGTAGAGTGTCTTGTCTAACTGATCGAGTTCGGTGCGTGTAAGTCTGATTTTTTCCGAGATAAGAGCGAAGCTAGTTCTAGCTAGAATTCGTTTTGCATTGAGAGAAGTTGCAACAGCAGAGGTTAGTGTAAATGCGGTTGGTATTACCCTCTGCTGCCAGACCACCAAGATTATATGGCCTTCCAAAGATACACAAAGAAGATACACCCCTTCGTCCCATCGTCTCTACTATCAGCTCCCCCACCTACAAACTGGCACGTTTTCTTGCTGATATACTGCGACCTTTCACTGGAAAAACCACCTCTGCGGTACTAAATTCCACTCACCTGGTATCGACAATCAAAGGCATTTCCCTGTCCCCAAACGACCTG